AATGATTTAGGTGAAAGTTAACAGAGCAAAGCAGTTTCTCGTTCAAAAATTTACACACACATTTTTTTCATGGCACTGGCTGCAGTCCCACATGTGTCAGCAGCACTCTCCCCCTTTCCCCGCCCCCGCGTTCACCGTGTCCATTTGTCCAGTTTTCCTGTCCCCTCCTGCCTGCTCATCTTTGTTCGATCTCATGTACTTGATTGATCTAAGAAGCACGTTCCTCCTGCGTGTTATTGTTTGTCTTATAGGACTGTCTAATCTTTTGCTGAAAGGTGAACTTCAGGAGTGGCTTCAAGCCTGAGTTAGAAGGGTGTCCAGGGGCCATAGTCTCTGGTTCTTTGGTCTCTGTTAGACCAGTAAGCCTGGTCTTTTTTGTGGATTTGATCATTTGTTCTACATTTTTCTCCTGCTCTGTCTGGGACCCTCTATTGTAATCCCAGTCAGAGCGGTCAGTAGTGGTCGCTGGGCACCACCTAGTTCTGGTCTCAGGGTCCTGTAGGCTATGGTTCATGTGGTCCATTAGTCCTCCGGACTAATTGCTCCCTTGGGTCTTTAGTATTTTTCCCTCTCCTTTGCTGCGGACTAGAAGAGACTGATAGTTGTATCTTAGATGACTGCTTGTAGTTAAACTATATTATTTTTAATCTCCATGCCTTGTGCACAGCAAAGGAACCCTGGTGGTGCAGTGGTTAAGAGCTCGGCTGCTAACCAAAAGGTTGTCACTTCGAACCCACTAGCTGCTCCTCGGGAGGAACACATGGCAGTCTGCGTTGGGAAAGATTACAGCCTCGGAAAGCCTATGGGGCAGCTCTCCTCTGTTACAGGGTCACTGTGAGTCAGAATCGACCAGGGAATACTCGCAGGTGGATTGTATTTTGTTCTGTCCTCCCTTCCTCAGCACCTCCTCCCTTGAGGAAGGAAATGTCTTACCCTGCTTTTCCCTCCAAACTACTTATCAAGTGATAATGTGCTTAATAGGTCATCAAAAAGCACACCTTGGTTGATTATCTTCCACCCCCACCCGGGCTCCAATTCCGTTATCTATTTAAAATTTCCAGCCAGAGCTCTCAAACTCTAGCTGAATTGATTCAGCATCTCTGAACACTAAACAGTTTTTAGGTTAAAAACCACTTTTTAACCTCTGAGATTTTTAAAATGTGAGAGCGGATAGATATGCCTAGATAAAGAATAAGTACAGGAAAATATTATCTCTGGATGGTGGGCTTTTGATTATTTCACTTTTTTGTATTTTTTAAAATAAACTTGTACAGATTTTACTATTAAAAATGTTAATAAAACCAAAATGACTACAGTTCCGGCCTATTTAGATTTACACAGAGCAGAGGGAAGGCCCAGAAAAATATGCTAATTGCAGGCATATTTTTTATGATACTGTAAGCTGGTTTATTCATATTTTTAGTAGCTTTATTGAATATTTTTCTTTAAAAATATCTTGTTAAAAATCACCGTTAACATTTTGACATATGTCATTCTGTCATATTTTTATGTGGACATTTTTACAGTAGTGGGCTCATACTGTATGTACTGTTATAATTTTTATTTTACTTGTTTATCATGAATATTCTTCTGTGGCATTATTAACATGATATACACTATGGTTTTAGATGGACCCCCGAATTCTGGTGTGGGCTGTACTTTTATCTAACCAGTCCTTTATTGTTGCATATTTGAGTTGCGTCTAATCCTTTGCTCTTATAAATCACTGCTGTAGTTTGAAACCTGACAAAGCTACATGACCATTTGCTTCTGGGCCTCTTCGTTTGTTGTCTGGCCGTGTGGCCCACACTCGGAAGTGAGTTACAGGGATGAATGATACCTGAATAATGCTACTTAGTCGTGGGTCCGTGTTAACCCAAGTGACTCGTTCAGACATGCGGTACTGGGCTGGCACTTTTATGGATTGTACAACTACAGACCTTTCGTTGGTTCTTTGGTTTGTTTGTTTTTTTAATAGACTTTATTTTTTAGGGCAGTTTTAGGTTTACAGAAAACTTGTGCAGAAAGTACAGAGTTCCCATACACCTTCTTCGCTCCTGTACACAGATAAAAAAGTTTTTGTTAACATTTTTCATTCTTGTGGTACATTTGTTATAATTGATGAACCAATACTGATGCATTATTAACTAAAGTCTAGTTAGCCCTGGTAGCACAGTGGTGAAGAGCTCGGCTGCTAACCAAAAGACTGGCAGTTTGAATCCACCAGCCGCTCCTTGGAAACCCTATGGGACAGTTCTCCTCTGTCCTACAGGGTCGCTATGAGTCGGAATCAATGGATTCGGTTTTTGGGGTTTTTTTATAGTTTGCATTAGGGCTCAGTCTTTGTGTTGTATGGTCCGTGGGTTTTGACGAATACATGATGTTATATGTCCTAAGAACGCCTTGTGCTCAACCTATTCATCCCCGCCCTCAACCCCTGAGTCCCTGGCAACCACGTCTCTGTAGTTTTGCCTTTCCAGAATGTCTGGTGTTGGATCGTACAGTATGTGTAGCTTTCCAGACTGACTCCTTTCACTCAGCAGTGTAGTCCCTCCGTGCCTTTTTGATAGCTCATTTCTTATTGTCACTGAAGAACACTCCATTGTATGAATGTATTTACCCTACATTTTTATTTGAAAAATTTTCACATCTGCAGAAAAGTGAAAAGAACAGGCCAGTGAACAGCTGTATACCCTCTGGATTCCCCAATTGTAAACTCTTGGTTTTTAATGGAAAGAGCTTCATATACAAACTAGGCTTAAAGAGAAAATCCAGGTAACCAGGAAACATTGCAAGGAATGAGCTAAATGGAAAGCTTTTGTTATATGTGGAAATCTTCTCCAAATGGCCATGTCATCCTAGTTGGTGACATTCTGCATCCTTTATTAAGTGAACACATGCTAGCCTGTCCTCTCAGAAGTGTTCGGAAGGCTACCACACAACACAGTGTTGGCCTCTGAGGGCCACTTGAAATGCATTCATCATGCACTGCCCTTTCCAACAGGTTGGAAGAAGGCATTGTCCTGCTCTCTCACTGACTGGTCATTTTTGCTTTGCGCCATACAGAACACAGTGCTTTCCAGTGGCACCTTAATTTAGCACGCGTCCCCAGATAAATGAATCACCAGAGTTAATCTTGGAAAAACGATTTGGGAATTTTCTTGAGTTCAGGAATGTTTTTCCTCTTCCCAACTCATCACCCTAGGTAAATTTAAAATTCAAAGCAGTGTCTCTTCATTGAATAAGCCTCTGTACATTCACAACATCATTTTCCATCTAATTTGATATTCTATGGGAAGTTGCAGGGCCAATTTAACTAATAAAATGAGGAATCTTGTATATTAGGCAGTGTGAGTGGCTAACAGCAACATGGGCCTTCATTTATTTTAAGTTGCCCTTTAACTGTAATGGTTAGCAACTGTGAATAGAACTCCAGACCCTGCCAGAGTGGTTTAATTGTGGCCTACAGAAAACTGATTGCACTCCAGCTTTGAAGCCAGACAGACATGGATTTAAGCCTGGTTTCTGCCCCCTCCTTGTAGCATCCCCGTAGGGAGTTATCTTTCTCCGTATTTTCATTTGTAAAGCAGAAGGGTACTCAATTTTAAGAGCTACTATAAAGCTACAGTAATCATGACATTGTGGCATTGGCAAAGGGTTAGGCACATAGATCAATGGAACAAAGTGGACTCCAGAAAGAGACCCATACAGTATGACCAACTGATTGTCAACAATGGTGCAAAATCAATTCCATGGAGAAAGGATAGTCTTTTCAACAAATGAAAACTGGAATAGTTGGATTTCATGTCCAAAAAAAAAAAACCTCAATCCATACTTCAAACCTTACACAAAATTAACTCAAAATGGATCACGGCCTTCCTAAACCTAAGACAAGTTGACAGGGGCTTCTCAAGAGGGGTCTCAATGTAAGAAAAATCTAGACTGCCTCCTAAGTTCTAAGAAGAATAGAAACACATCTCAAATCACACAAGAGTCTCTAATCTATTCCTATTCATGTTAACAAAGAAAATAGCTATTTTAAGGAGTAGTTTTGGGATAGTTTCTGTGAACTAGTCAGTCATGTAGAATTTAATGGAAAGTGGAGATTTGGAAATCACGGGCGCACTTTGCAATGTGTCTGCTGTATCCCAAAATAGCTTCTGCAGATAATCTTAACTCTCGTGGGTTGCTAATGAAGAGTTTCTATTTGCAGCTTCACTGGGAATTCTTTCTCATGAATATATTAAAAGATAGTCATGCTTTCTTAAGAGGACTATATACGTGTCCCCTTAGGCGTATAGCAAATGAATCATGTGAAGCAAGGTAAAGATTCCCTTTTGCTTGAAAGAAGGTTTCTCTCTCCCCTGGGTGTGGTTTATTTTTGGTTGTTTACAGCCTCTGACTTGTGGTAGAGCTCTCACTGGGCACCCCAGCTCACGTAGTGAGTCAATTGTGTTGCTGGTGAATCTGCAAAGCATAGATCTAGAACATACTTTCAGTCTTTTAAAATTAAAACACCTGTTTTTCTCACAGAGCTGTGACAGAGAGCATCAATCAACTCATCACGCTGTGCACCCAGCAAGCTCCTGGCCAGAAAGAGTGTGATAATGCCCTCCGTGAACTCGAGGTAGGCCCACAGGAGGCTGCTTGGGACTTGAGGAGTGTGGCACAAACAGTTTACACTCGACTACTAGCCTAAAGGTTGGCAGTTCAAACCCACCTAATGGCACCACAGAAGAAAGGCCTGGCAATCTTCTATAAAGATTCCAGCCAAGAAGATCCTATACAGCAGTTCTACTGTGTAACACATGGGGTTGTCATGGGTCAGAATCAGCTTGATGGCAGTGGGTTTGGTTTGGTTTTGGTGCTCCTGTTAGGCATCCCCGGGTGGTGTAAATAGTTAACGCACTCAGCTAACTGAAAGGTTGGAAGTTCAAGTCCACCCAGAGGCATAGCGGAAGAAAGGCCTGGTGATCTACTTCTGAAAATCAGCCATTGAAAACTCCCATGGAGCAGCGTTCTCCTCTGACACCGTGGAAGCTCCTGTTCTTCCCCTACAGATTGTTTTCCTCTCCTCTGTCCTTGCTTTTTCTCTTTCCTGGGAGATTGTTGGGGCTAAAGTTTCAACCAGGTGGGATGAGATTTATTTTTTTAAAAGATTCTTGTTTTTAAAAGGTAGGGCCTGTGGTATTGGATGTAGGTTGAAGATGAGCAGTCTCTACCTGAAAAGTTCTGGAGAGATTATTCTGGGGCAGATGGGAGAGAAACAGAGGCTGGGATGGGTGAGCCCGCTGAGAATGAATTCCCTCTACGTTTTGTTTGGCGGTATGCAGGAGGCACATAAGAGAAAACACAGGAGTGACACTTCTTTACTACACAGGTGGCCTCGGGACCGCCGCTGGCCCAGAACCCAGTTGTGGGTGCTTTTCAATTTATATTGACACTCACAGTTGACTTGTAATTGAAGTTTCATGTATGCCTATGGAATGTGTGTGGGTAAACATAAAATCAACATGCCCACCTGTATGTAAAGCAGTTCTAACGGGGGCAGCTTATATTAAAATAGCCAAATGGGCACTCAGTAGACATGGGTTGATTGTGCCCCACGGGAGTTTAGTTTCCTGGATGATTATCAGGAGGCTGGCATGGTGGGAATACCCATTGCAGCTGCTGAAGCATTTGATTGAGGCCCTGTCTGATGAGGCAAATAGGCTGTCGTGCACTGGTGGATGTGAGGTGGGGCCTGTTATCACGGGACTGAAGCATTCTGAACATGGTTGAGAACGTTCTTACGATGGCTGAACTACTGCCCTAATCTGGTCTGCTCACATTTGCAAATATAAATGATACGGGGGCTGTTGATCTGAATGAGCTCTGTTGGCCTAGGTAAAAATACCCTGCCCCTTAATGGTTTCCTTGGTCACCAAAGTGGTGACTGCCTCAGGGTTGCTATTACTAAAACAATTTAGATCATCCAAAGAGTGAGAAAAGATTCTTCAATGAAATGAACTCATTCTTTACCCTGACCCTTTGCCTTCGTGTCTTTAACTGAACAGCTCAGCAGCTTCCACCATTAAACCCAACTCTTTGTAACTCAAGTGGCCTTATCTTTGTGTTGGTTATGCCTCAAAGGCTGCTGCCTGGAAGCCTGGGACTTAATATGCCTTCTGACTCAGTGGGGAGATGGTTGAGGAGATACACCCCCAGGTTTCCCTCCTCTGGAAAAGCCCCTCGTTAGTGGTGATCAGAGGCCATTCACAGAAAGGCCCGCAATGGTTTCCAGTGGCCTGGAGACAGAGAAGAGGCAGGCCCTGTGCCCAGTTCCCCGAGGTGACCTCAACCAGACTAAACATTTTCTGTACTTTTTAAATTAAAAATAAATGCGCCCACAGAAACCTGCACACAAATGTTTATAGCAGCTTTACTCATAATGGCCAAAAATTGGAAGCAACTAAGATATCCTTCAGTAAGTGAATGGATAAGCAAACTGGTGCGTCCGTACAATGGAGTATTATTCAGCGATTAAAAAAAGAGTTATCAAGCTGTGAAAAGACATGGGGGCACCTTAAATGTGTATTGCTAAGCGAAGGAAGCCAGTCCGAAAAGACTGTATACTGTATGATTTCAACACTGTGACTTTCTGGAAGAGGCAAAATTAGAGAGACAGTGAAAAGATCGGTGGTTTCCACTGATGGGGGATGGAGGAGGGGTAAACAGGTGGAACAGGGCGTTTGAAGGGCAGTCAAACAATTCAGCATGATGCTGTGACGGCAGACGCGGGACAGCATGCGTTTGTCAGAGTCCATGGGACTGTACAACACAGTGGACGCTAATGTGAACTCTGGACTTCATTATAATATATCAGTGTTGGCTCAGTTGTAACAAGTACACCATATTAATGAAAGATGGTAATTATGGGAGAAGCTGTGTGCAGGGAGGAAAAGGGGTAGATGGGAACTCTCTAAACTTTATGCAGTTTTTCCTTAAACCGAAAACTGCCCTAAAAGATAGTCTATTAAAACAAATAAACAAAAACAAATGAACCATCCCAATGGGCAGTCTTGGGGAATTACCTTCTTTCATACCTACCCATTTAGAGTTCCAGAATTGAAAGACTGAAGGTTATAACCCATTTTCAGGCACGAAGAAATGAATGAATGGGTCCTTGAGATTTGAACTCCTTGGAGTTAACCGAGCAGAGAAATTGTGCCAATTGACCATGAATATGTTGCCTTGCATTAACCTTCAAATTTCTTTAAGAAAAAACAAATCTGTCTTTGGATACCATGCTTCTCCTCCTTCGTAATGGAAAGCAAAAGACTCTTACCTCTGGCTCAGCTAACCTAAGACCGCCCCACCCCCATCTGTGTTGTGTTACTAAATTTGATTAGGAAACATGACGTCAGGAATACCCTGATGTGAATTCCTCTCAGGAATCTGGGTAAATGAGTGATCAGAACCAGAACCCTTGTATCCGTAATTCTGTGTATGGAGGCCAAGCAGACAGTTGGGATTTTGTATTGAATTTATCTTGTTCTGTAACCCTTGTTTGGGTTTTTGTTTTTTAATTGTGTTACCCATATGCATAACAGAAACGCGCTTGCTTTTTAAGCTGTGTTCTCATTCTGTAGACTGTGAAGGGGATGTTGGATAATCCTAATGAACCCGTTAGCGACCTGTCTTACTTTGACTGCATCGAGAGCGTGATGGAAAACTCCAAGGTAAGCCAGTCTGGGTGGTAATTCACAGCTAATGTTACTCAGCAGTGTGGGTGAAAACCCAGACGTGCTTTGTGTGCATCTGCGTGTGCCCGCCTGGGATGGCTGCAGGCATCATAAAACCGTGGACTTTGTTCAAGGGCCTCTCAAACTTGAGTGTGCCCCAGAATCACCTGGAGGGCTTATTAGACACAGATGGCTGGTCTCCACCTCCTCAGTTTGTGATTCTGCAGACCTGGAGAGGGACCTGAGGTTCTGCACTTCTGCCAAACCCCCAGTTGATGTCCGCGTTACGAGTCCAGCAGCCACACTTGGCGAGCCGCCATGCTGTCTCGTATCACAGGTGGGCCTCCCTGTGCATCAACACAGGTGTCTTCTGCACCTGGGCCTGACCTGCTGCAGGAAGCCCGCGGTGCCTTGGGCTTGTGCGAGGCCCTCAGATGTGTTCTTTCTGCCATCTGCCTGTGGCGTGCGTTCTCCGGGGGGTGTAACGTCTTAGATATTCCAATGGTTTGTTGTCTTCCAAACTGTAAACCTACTTGACAAAACTTTATTCCTTAGTATTTAATTTGATTTGGGGGGCTGGGGGTGGGATGACAGTTACGGGGGGGAAACAAGTCTAAAAAGCCTCCTTAGGGAGCAATAATAAAAACAAAAAAAGGTGGAGAAACACTGATCCATGGTAATCGTATCCGTGTCTTTTGAGAATGCCTCAAAATTAGAAGGTGAAATGAAACACAAGTGAGATGAATGGGTTTTGTACGGCCTTGTGCTTGGAACGCGTTTGTTTACGTCACTCTTATATTAGCTTTGGGGAGACATCGGTGTTGGGGTGATGTCAGGAGAGCTGCGTTGGTGTTGGGGTAAGGCCACAGTTTGTTCTGTCCAGCATCCCTTACAGAATAACAGACGGACTAAGGGGACGATGCAGACGTTTTACATACTTAGATCCAAAGAATCTGTTTTTTCTCAAGGAGGGATGCTGGGTTAGAAGAGGGGAAAATACTGTAAGTAAACATTCCCTCTACGTTTTTTTACTTTGGAGGTCTTTATGCAAGCTGGATTATTTTGTATATCTAAGCAATTAAGTAGAGCTCTGGTGGTGCAGTGGTTAAGCGCCCTGCTGCTTTCCAAAAGGTCGGTGGTTGGAACCCACCAGCCACTCCGCAGGAGAAAGATGTGGCAGTCTGCTTCCAGAAAGATTACAGCCTCGGAAACCCCGTGGGGCAGCTCTACTCTGACCTGTAGCGTTGTTGTAAGTCGAAACTGACTCGATGGCAACAGTTTGGTTTGGTTTTAAGTAATTAAGTAGCATCTTACTTTAGGGAATTTATTTCATTGCCCCATCCACGATGACTTACATGGCGAATGAATAGAGCTCTGTATTAGGTTTTACACTTGGCAGCTTGGTCTCCGCAGGGGTTTGTGTTGAACACCCTTCAGTGTCACCATCTATGACCCAGGAAAACAGGACCTTCCCTCCTGGTTCATGATGAGGCCCGTAGAAGGCAGAACACCATATGTGGGGTGGGTGCCTTGCCCCATGTGACCTTCTTTGTGACCTTGACACCTCTGGGTTGGATTCTAAATACTAGGATCCCTTTCAGCTGTGATGTAAGTACATCTGAAGAAAGAGTGCACCACTGATTTTCAAAATAAGGGAAAATGCTTATAAAATTTAGGAAGCGTCCTTAGTTTGTGTTTGGATTATTATTATGTATATACTTGTTAAAGATGTATTTAAAGTTTACTGTTAATAAGTGAATAAATTAATAATATCAGGAAGGGTGCATCATCTGCTTTCTGGGTATGAGTTCACCTGTGCTCAGTGGACATGTCTGTGTTTTTTGTTCTGGGAAGTAATAGTTCTCAGGTTGGAGCATTCACCTGTAGTATGCCCCATATGGATTTTATTTTATTGGTCTGTGTGTATTAACAATATCTTCTTGGACTACAGATAATTTTCAGATGAAAGGTTCATATTTTCATTATTCATTTCTCTTTATGGAATGGAAGTGGTATAATTCTCCTGAACCTCTTCTTCATGCAAATAAAGGAGAAAATGGCAAATGTTGTAAATTAAGTGACTTTGAACGTTGATGTTGGAAGTGTGCCCTCCTTGGCCCCACGTTTTGAAGCAGTGCTGGACAGAGAAGTCTCTGCCTGTTTGTTTTGCAGGTTCTGGGGGAGTCGATGGCAGGGATTTCGCAGAACGCCAAGACTGGGGACCTCCCTGCCTTTGGGGAGTGTGTGGGAGTGGCGTCCAAGGCTCTCTGTGGGCTGACAGAGGCTGCGGCCCAGGTAAGTGGCTGGTCCATGGTGCCCTGACTGACAGGTCTTCCAGTGTTTTGCTCTGTGGTACACTGGGTTGCTGTGAGTTGGAACTGACTCAAGGGCACCTAGCAACAACAGGCTATGAGAGGAGAGGCCCACAGGCTGGGCGGCTCTGGGTTGGCTCACTCAGCAGCTCCATGCCTTCAGTGTGCACCCACTTCTTTCCAGCTCTCCCACTGCCAGCTGGGGTCGTCTTCAGGCCTAGGCCAGGCAGCCTCGTGGTCATAAGAGGGTTGCCAGGAGCCGTCAGGGCTGCCTCCATCCCTGCTCATGTCCTGCAGAAGAGCCTCTTGAGGCTGTGTCTGAAACACAGGAGACTTTCTTCCCAGAATCTTCAGCAAACTCCTGCTGGCATGTCACTAGCCTGAGCTGGCTTCAGCGTGATCCATCCCTACGCCCCTCTATTGGGAGAAGAGTGAGATTCCGCTGACCAGCTTGCACTAATGAGCACCCAGGCAGGATGGCTGCCTGCCTGCCGCAGGTCCATTGTCCACCACAGGCTCATTGGGAGTCTGGAGCCCGCCTGCTGCAGGTCCACTGTCCACCACAGGCTCTTCTGGAGTCTGCTGCCCGCCTGCCGCAGGGCCTTTGTCCACCACAGGCTCATCTGGAGTCTGCTGCCCGCCTGC